TTTAATGTTCCTTGTTTGTTAATAGTTTCACTATGAGCTGTCAGCAAGAAAGCTTACAAGTTAGTTCTAGTGTAGCTTTGGTATCCAGTGATTCACCAGATCTGGAATGTGCAGACACAGGAAGTGATGTCACTGCCCCCACAGCCTTCCCATCCGTGCCTCTCCAAAGAAGAAAAAAAACACCACCTGTCCCGGGATCAGACGTGTCGCCATGGAGACGTGGAGTTTCCATAGCATTCACACACACAAACGCAGTCAGGAAAAAGTTTGACTGCTTTTTAACGAGCGCTTGGCATAGATGTCTGTCAGACAGGCTCCACTGTCATTAGTGGGTGATGTCATTGGTAAATCAGCGAACTTTGACCCAGATGGGTTTGCATGTGCCAAGGGGGTCTGGAACAGGTGTCGGACATTAATGCAGCTACTAATTTTTCAGGCTGCAGCAACTGATACGTGTGCTTTTCATCCCGTCTGGGAAAATTCAGTCTTTGCGGTGTGTGTGTTTGGGTGTAAAAGAGCGAGTACTGTAGCTCATTAGTGTGACTTTTAATGTTCCACTCGTCTGAATGGTTTCAGTGTGTGAGTCAAGTTCGGAGTCAAGACTCTTCTTTCACTCGTCGTTCCTCTCCGCCATGCCTTCCCATGCGCCTGCCCTACGTTTTGCGCCATTTCTGGGCTTCTCACACTCCGTCTATTGTATCTGTCCCCCTTCTCCTTTTCTTTTCAAATTCCTCCAGCACTCCATAGCCGTCGCTCTCTGACCCCACCTCCCGACGGCTGTCTAAATGGTGCGATTGTGCGTGTGTGTGCATGTGAACGTCTGTGGAAAGTCTGACGTGAGCGCGGAGAGAGTGTGGCTCGACAGCGCTGCTCAATCCAGGAAACTCCCTTAGAACAACAAGGCATGGCTGACATCCAGAGAGCTCCACTGGAGCCAAAGTTTGTCTCAGACTTCCCTCCAACACACACACACACACACACACACACACATACTCGCTCAAGAAACTCTCACACATGCATTCGGTTCGCCTGCACTCATTTCATTGTCTCGAGTGGTTTTACTGTCTGTGTGGACGCTCGATGGCATCTCGATTCCCCTGGAGGCTGATAGACTCAGTCCGTCTTCCAACAAGACCATTGTACCCTCCTCCGAGTTCCAAACATTGCATCTCCAACCCCGAATTGAGTCTCTGCTCTGTTTTTGAGTTGATTTACTGTGGCCGTTGTGATATTTCAGCTATTAAAGATGGATTAGCGTTCAAATCTGCGGCTTGGACAATGCGGTATTTGTTGAGAACCTCGTTTTACTGGTTGTGTTGCACACTATAGCACGTATCACCATATTCTCTAATACCCCTGGTCCTCTGTGGTGTCTTAACGCAGCTGTTCGGCTCTATTTGATACTAGTTTACAAGAAACATTCTGCTGTTCTCCTCTGTGGTATGTCTTCTCTGATTGCTCTTCTGTTTTGGAAACCCTGTTGCTATTCTACAAATATTAGTACATAATATTACACTGTCAACATTTGAGGTTTTGCTGTTGCAGTTTGTCACTAGCAATGTAGCTTAACTTATTGACTAAAAACAGTGAAAGGCACATGGAATCAAAAGCTACTGAATAGCATGCTACTTTTGCTATGCAGCATGCATAGAATGCTCAGATTTGCAAAAAAAAAGTGTAGTATAAATATATACTGCATGGGATAGTCCCACAATGCAATGCACTCAACTTGATACACTACCATTAAAAAATATATTTTTGAATACAATATGAACATGTATTCAATTGATCAAAAGTAACCGCAAATACATTTAGAAATATTATAAAAGATTTCTGTTTCAAATAAATGCTCTTGAACTTTCCATTCATTCAAGAATCCTGAAAAAAGTATGATGGTTTCCAAAAAAGAAAGCAGCTGTTTTCAACATTGATATTAATAAGAAATGTTTCTTGAGCACCAAATAAGCATATTAGAATAGTTTCTGAAGGATCACGTGGAGTAATGGCAAATTTGTAATATAGCTTTGCAATCACAAGAATAAATGACATTTTAAAATGTATTGAAATATATTTTAAATTGTAATAATATTTAAAACTTTACTGTTTTTACTACTTTTGTGATCAAATAAACAGCCTTAATGAGCATAAGTAATGTCTTTAAAAATGTATTATGATATTTTTTATTGACTCTTTATTCGAATGGTCTTCAATTAATGTTTTAATTCAAAAAGACTTTTAAAAATTTTATTTTTAAATGTTCAGTGTCATCATTTGAGACAACAATGAAGCATGCTATTATTAGAATCTGTACTGTTTCATTTACAATTTTCACAAATAATATACAGTACTCAGTGCATTATTCTGTTGCAAACACAGCTACAAAAATAGGTCATTCAGAATTCAGCATGATTATGTCACATCCTGCATATTTATGAGCATATTAACATGCGAACTCCCATATTTATATATCAACAACCATTCAGAATTCATCAACTTGACCTGCCCTGAGAAACAACAGTGCTCATTCATTATATTGGTAAACAATGGTTGGCCAATCATAACCGTTTGCATATTAAAATAGTTCAATGTTTGGTTTCATTATTTCACTTTTGTGCGAATGTCCAACCAGCATCATAAAGCAAAACCGCTGTCCTAAAAGATTTGTACATCAAGCTGTGATTTTTACAAGTTTACCATCTTTAATTACTATCTGATCAAATTTAGCAGTTTTAAATGACGTATTATATTATGTTTTACTATTGAGAAAAGCAGCACAACCCTACTCTCCAGATAGAGCCGTGAAGTTTCAGTTAAATGCAAAGTGTTCAAGATAAAAGAGATATGTGGGAATGTGTGTGTGTGTGTGTGTATCAGAGCACATCCATATGGTGAATGAATGTCTAACAGAGATGTTCAAAGAAGGCCAATGTGTGTGGGAGATAGAGAGAAGTAGAGGAAAGGGTTGTTCTTTGTATGTGTGTGTGTTTAAGAGGAAAAGGAGTGTGATAGGGTGGTTGCTTTTCATTCTTTCTTTGTATGTGTATGTGTGTGTGTGAGTAAGTCAAATGAGAGAAAAGAAGAGATATTTGGGGGTCGTTGTGAGCAGACAGAGATGTGTGTGTGAGGGAGTCAACAGCAGCTCTGTATGGACTATGCATGCGGAGCAGGGGTCTTCTACTTCAGACGAGCACTTTACTCGGTCCCTGAGGCACCCCTTCTTTCTTCTCCCTCTTTTCAGCATGTCACAATGAGAAGGCCTCATTTACGGCTAAACAACACACTTTAGAGCCACCACTTCAAATGACCCACATTCTCCCAGACACGCAACACCACCGCCATACACCTCAGTGGCAACTCGACTCCACCGGCTCCATCTAATGGCCTACATTTCCCATTATCCTCTGAGACAAAAAGACAGAGATACCGAACTGACTGGCCATTGACCAGCATTGGGAACATTTGTTTATAGTGCCGTATTTGATGTTAAAAAGAAGCGCTTTTGTAGCATTTCCCCCTTAAAGTCCACTTATAATATTAGTCAAGGTTCCTTGCACCAAAGCAGTCATAATTTAGTTTTACATGACCATTTTCCACAGACTATGTCCAATTCAACAGGCTGTTTTTGCTACTGTACCTTTACGAGTTTAAAATTACCATGCAGTTTTGCTACAGGGCAGCATATATAATACATGTTTATTAAAATATGTTGTACATGTGCCGTTTTAAATATGCATTGTCATATGGACTGTAAGCCTTTAATGGTAACAAAAACTAATTGAAATGAAACTCAAAGTACAAAAGAATAGAATCAATTGAGTCAAATTGATTCAGTAACCACCACTGATGTAGTTTATTCAATGGATTCAACAAACTGATTCAAACTAGAGTTTTTTTGAATGGTTAATTAAACTAATGAATCATAAGAATTATGTCCAAATGACAGATGAATTACTGTTGAGTTTATTTGCATGCCTTTGTTGTCAATTACACATTTTATTGGACTTGTTTTGTTTTCCCCTTTATAAGTTGACATGCCTAAATATGTATAATTATATGATTAGTTGCTTTTTATTTGCATTTAGCATTGTTTCGCACTGTTGTCGGTGACCTTGTCAAAACTTACTTTCTTCCCACCATTTAAGAAATTGTTTTTTAGACGTTTACTGCTATTTCCATGGATCCCACAGCACATTTAGAGTTTTGTGTATGTGCGTTTTGTCAGGGTAGGTTGTTTTGTTCTGGTCCAGGGAAAGACTCTCTCCTGCTCTGTTAATTTGCTTTGCTCTGCAGATGTGCACATCAGATGGTTTGAATTAAATGCTAGATTGCTCACACAAGGTCAGCTATGAGAACTCCGAATACCTCTCTATTTGCCTCTGGAACTGAGAAAGAAAGGCTAAATGTGTGTGAAAGAGCATGACTGCAGCCGTGTGAAAGTATAAAACTGGTATTTCTCTTGAAGAAACCTCTTATCTGCTGTTCTTCCCAGACTTTTTTTTTTTTGTCTTGTGTGCCTCCACAGCCCCATAAGTAAAGCTCAAATCCTTATTCATTAGCAGCAACGGCAATAAATTAATTTATGAATGAAATTCAGATGAAACTTTATTCTTTATTCCTGTGATATTTGTAATAATGTTAACAAGAAGATGAGTAAAGGCATCTGCTGTCTGAAGTGCTTACGACTGTAGTTGTTTAATTTAACTATTTCTAATTTGTTTTTGTTTTTTTGTTTTATTATTTATTTTTAATGATTTTTTTGAATAACTCATCATCAATGTGTTTACAAAATGCATTCAATATGATAAATATATTAATCTACTAACAAACCTAATCGTGATATTTTCTAAAATATTAATTATATTTTTATTTTGAATATTTAAGTTATAATTTCTGTTTTTCAGATTTAACCAAGCAAAACCAAAATATTTCCAAGTACCAACTGGGATACATGAATGCAAGGCATCATGAATGCACATTGAAAAATCTCTCTCATTTTCTAGGTCCCTATAATCGTTGCTTTGATTCATGTGGGTCATGGAGCAGCAGAGCTTGGGTTTGCAGGAGACCTCCAGAACCGCACAGCCAGACAGCTGAACTGCGTGGAGAACCAGGAATACCCTCACATCAACTTCTGCTGCAAGAACTGTGAAGCTGGTAAGTTGCAGTTAAGATCCATCTCTGACGTTCCTGTCAAACCGTGAGAACTTCCCTTGTAAAGGCCAGTATTGTAAACACAAATGATTCAACTCGCTCAACGCAAAGATTTTAAAGTAAATTAAAGCATACACTGGTTTTCAAGATGTTTAAAATTGCTTTCCAGGCTATGTTGATTAGGCGCTGACAAACATCTGTCAGTGTTGCTATTAAGAGTATTATTCTCTGATGAAAATTTGAACAGAAACAAAATGGTTATTTTATAGAACAGTCTTCATTAGCTTAAAACTCGGCATTCTTATTTGTAAAAAGCTGTGTCTGTTGAGAGGTATTGTAAGGTTTGTGTTGAAGGAGGTGTTTGGAGATCCAGAATGAGAGGAATGGAGGCCTGTGTTTCGCTCTCTGCAAACATGAAGCACACATGAAGAGCAGCTTAAATCACCAAACCGCCTGATGGGAATTAAACACAAAATATACAGTTTGGAAATATAGTATTGGGAATTACAGTGAGAATATGTGGAATGTAATAAAACGTATTATTTTTGTATAGTTTGTCTAATAAGCCCATGATAATCACAGGATGGTTTCTCATTACCAAGGTAAAACCATATAAAACAAAAGATATGAGATAATTTAATATATATTATAAAACATAATGGCATGAATACACTTAAAAATAGATTCTTGAAAGGATGGTTACTTAAGTTAAAAGGTACTTTTTTTCATATGAGAAATGCTAATTATTAATAATTTAATACTAGATCATTGGTGTCAGAATACATACCAAGAAAAAACATTTTAATATATGGCATGTATTTTAAACAGGTCTCAAAATTGCATAAAACATCTTCGACTAAATGTTGTATTCTGTGGTCTTTTTTTTTTGGTGGGGGGGAAGGTTACTTAAAAGGTACTTTGCTTAATGCATTTTTCATATGAGTAATGCTAATTAATATTTTAATACTAGATCATTGGTGTCAGCATATATACTAAGAAAAATCTTTGGCCAAATGTTGCATTCTGTGGTCTTAATTATACAGTTATTTTAAATGAGTTTGATTCTAAACACAAACTTGTTCCTATTCTGCTTTTTTTCTCCAAATACAATATCTTGAGATCTAATGTCTGTCACATTGTTTTTTAAATTCACAGGTACTTATGTGAAACAAAAGTGTAGCAGTGACCAGGAGAAGGGCATTTGCGCTCCATGTGAGAAGGGCACGTATGCCGAACACCCCACAGGCATGGATCAGTGTCTGCAGTGCAGCCAGTGCCACAGAGGTAACAATCTCCACTTTCCTCTCCAAACCAGCCATTTAGTCAATATCACAATTAGATGTTTGTAAAAGGCAAGGCCAGATCTTTCTCTTATAGTTGTTTAAAGTAGGTGTTTATGAGTCAGGCCTGTGACTGGCACTTGGAGGTACAGAAATCTCAACCTTCTGCTTTTGTAATTGATTGAGTTTTCCAGTAGACAGCCATCTGTAGTCTGCACTGACTCTCTAGAGAAGCAGAGCACTCAGGAATGTAACATTTATACATCTCGAATGAATAATGGAACACACATGGTCCTTGGCGTGCTGGGAAGGCAGCAACGCAACCCATCGCTGGTGACTACTGGACAAACAATTAACTTCTGAATCTGCTGTCGGAAAACATAAATTAGAAGAAAACAAAAAATCTCAGAGATGATATAAAACTGTACTGGCATCAGAATTATTTGCTTTTGGAAATTCAGACTCGCCTTTTGTACAGTATGGAAAAATGTGCGGCGTACTGTGATCTCCAAGTGAGACGGAACATCTAAAGCACGTTGAACCCATCGCAGAAAGCTCCGCTGTGACAGCCCATTCTTCTGCAAAGCTATTTAGTCTGTCTCTGGTTCCTATGAAATCAAAGCCATCCATTAAAGTGCTGTTTATTTTGATTGGACAGCCACATTTACTGTTTATTAAATCATTTGATTTATCTAAACATTCTTTCCCACAAGACCCTACTGCTTGTTCAGATCCAAACTCTGTTGTAAACACTACATATTCGTATAAACAAAATCTCGCTCGCCCGTTTAGACAATGAGCCTCCCATAGGATTCTCAAGAGGACAGGGACATAAGCAGGCCCCATGAATAGAGCTGAGTCTAGTGTTTCCTGTGCTGGACACCTTGCTCCTAGGAATCTGATCTCCTAATGTTACACGTCCTGGGTGTGGCCCCACTCCTGTGTTCTTTCACTAGCCATTTGTGTGTGTATGAATGACTGATCTATCCTCTAGTTTATGCGCACCTTTGTGTCTCTTGTCCGGGTTTGTGTGCATGCGTGTGTTTTAGGATGATGCAGGGCGTGCCTGTATCATGTGGCGTCTTGTTCGGTATCAATTTTGCGCAATTAATCACTCCCAGGTTAGCCCTTCTGCTTGCTGAGTCACGAGGGTGTGTTGATTAAGACTTTCCATGCAGTATCTGCATTCTCTGAGGCAGATATTTGTTGTACTGAATGTCAAGTGAATCTGATTCTGGACTTAAACTGGATCTGTATTGACTGAAAATTGACCAATCATTCATTTAAACAATGAATCATTTTTTAATCTAATTTTGGACTGAATTTGGATCAGGATCTGGATTTATCCAAAATGTAAATATCTAATTTTACCCTGCAGATGTGCATTTCAGCTGTCTTCTTAGAGATTAGTTTTAACAATAATGCTATATGAATCTTTTTTTTTCTTTTATTTAAATTTTGATTGAATCTGGATCAAGATATGGATTTATCTGAAATGCATACAATTAATTTTACCTTTCAGAAGTGCATTTCTTCTACTTCTGAGGCAGATACTAGTTTTAAAATACATACATTGTATTATTTCATCTAAATTTGGATTAAATCCGGATCAGGATCTGGATTTATCCAAAATGTAAATATCTTATTTTACCCTGAAGAGTGCATTTTAGCTGGCTTAGAGAATAGTTTTAACAATAATACTGTGAATCTTGTTTTTATCTAAATTTGGATTGAATCTGGATCAGGATCTGGATTTATCTGAAATGTATATAATTATTTTTACCTTGTAGAGGTGCACTTTTACGGTCTTCTGACGTAGATATTAGTTTTAAAATGCGTACTAATAAATGTATTATTATTCTAAATTTGGATTAAATCTAGAATAGGATCTGCATCTATCCGACATTAACAGACATTAGTATTTTCTCTGAGACAGGTGCTAGTTGTAACGATAATATATATAGAATCTTTTTTTTCTTCTTTCTAGATCTGGATTAAATCTAGCTCTGGATTATTCTCTTAGCATCTGGATTGATGCAATCATTCAGTTCACCCTTCTGATGTGTGTTAAGACTTTCTTTCTTTTCCAGCTGTTCTCAGAGGCAAATGTTAGTAGTAACAGATAAGACACTAAATCATTCTCTCTGAATCTGAATCAAATCTGGATTGATCCAACATTCATATGTGTTCCATGCATTTGAACTGTTTGCTGAGGCAAAAACCATTAGGTACATTGCTTCTCTCCCACTTGTTCTGATTTCTTCATCCTTCCCTCCCTCACCTTTTTGCTTTTCTTCCTCCTTTTACAGATCAGATCGTGGTTGCAGAATGCACCAGAGCAAGCAACACCAAGTGTGAATGCAAACCCGGTACCTTCTGCCTGCCGGACGAGCCCTGTGAAGTGTGCAAGAAATGCGCCAAGTGAGTTCCTCCTTCCCTCTGGAACGTGCTCTTCCCATTTGACCTCTGATCTGCAGCACAACACCCAGATGAAAGCAGACAGCTCTGACGCTCTCACCTTCTATTCTCTTAACCTTTCAGCCCCAGCCTCTGCTTTAGATCTCCACATCCAATGAGTCAGATCCCTTTCCCACTGATTTACTCTCTCCACCTTTAACCCCTGAGGCTATTACTGTGCTATTCATAATGACAATCATTTAAAGACTCCTATTTTAGGCCTTTGGCTTCACACCTTTTCTAAAAGGCATATTTTTGACTGTGGTTTTGCAGGTGCAAAGCTGATGAGGAAGAAGTGAGCCGCTGCACTGCGACATCCAATACGAAGTGCAGGAAGCGAAACTCTCCTCCGCCAGAAGGTCCAACGGACAAGCCTTCGGCATCAAATAACACTGTTGCTACAGGTAGGGCAAGCATATGCAAACGAAAATTCAAAATTAACTTGAAATGAGAAAGTAAGTGACTCAAACTTGACATTAATAACACTGTATCATGTAATCATGAACAGAAGGAAATATTTCATATAATCTTCTTTTCTTTTTCAGCAGTTGGTATATCAGTTTTAGTACTGCTGTTTTTTTCAATAATTGCGGTTGGAATGTTTTTCCTCCATAAGAGACACCAACGTCGACTAAGCGGTATGTTAAAAATCATTTTTTAATCCTTGTATTTAATAACACTGCAGTGTCGGTTGTTATATGTGACCCTGGACCACAAAACTTAAGTCTTAAGTCGCTGGGGTATATTTGTAGCAATAACCAAAAATACATTGTATGGGTCAAAATTATTGATTTTTCTTTTATGCCAAAAATCATTAGGACAATAAGTAAAGATCATGTTCCATGAAGATATTTTGTAAATTTCCTACCGTAAATATATCAAAACGTATTTTTTTATTAGCAATATGCATTAAGAACTTCATTTGGACAACTTAAAAGGCGATTTTCTCAATATTTGGATTTTTTTTTGCACCCTCAGATTCCAGATTTCAAATATTGTCCTATCCAATCAAACCATACATCAATGGAAAGCTTATTTATTCAGCTTTCAATTTCGAAAAATTGACCCTTATGGCTGGTTTTGTTGTTCAGGGTCACATATATGTATAAGAAGTTTGAAGACATTTAAAATCATTCATAGCACATTGTACAACAATTAATGCCTTCATAGTATTATGGCATAGATCTGCAGAGTGGAAAATCAAATGTACTTCTATTGAAACTGCTTTAAATACATATTTTTTATGGACCTATTTGCTATCAACTTTATTTCAGACCCTGCTGGTGATTGTAAAGAAGTGAAGGTTCCTATTGTAAGTGTTTTTTAGCTTTTTATGCATTATTTTGATTCATTCGATGAATTAGGTTAATGTTATTCTGATGCTGCAAATAAACTTACATTTAACATTTAAAAATAAATCAATATTAAATTATATAATATAATTATATTATATTATATAAATTATACAATTTAAAAAAACATTTTTATTAAATTATTTACTTTAAATTAAAGTTTGAATAAATTTTTGTTGTTCTTGACGTCACATAGGATGAGTGTTCAAGATCAGAAGAGGACCAAGAGAACAGCCGCAATGCTGGATTAGAGAGGGAAGAGGGGCAACGCCCAGAGTCCCGCCCCTTGTTGACGCAAGAAACACAGGAAACATGCACCAAGAGCATACCAGTGGAGGATGAGGACCGGGGATTGGGCGACAGCTTGCCAAACACTACCAGCTCTTCCCAAACCAGTCTATCTGCCCTCCCTCCTGCAGTCTACAACGAGGAATCACCACGATCGAGTCCCCCAGCCCCGAGACAGACGGAGACAGTTACAGAGCCATGGGAACGGGTTAGTAAGAATTGGGATCAATCGCACAGTCATTAACCATCGAAATGCAGTGAAATGACAAGATAGTGCCTTCAAATGTGTGGAAAGATCATAGTTCCCAAGCAGAAATCTTTATTTACTAAAAATTAAGTAAATTCACAACATTGCTAAACCTGATTTTTTTTATTATAATTTTTTTTTTTTATAGGATGATGGTCCTCCCAGAAGACTTGTTCCTTTAATTGGTAAGATATTATTCTCTCAGACACAGTATTTGGAGAATACATAACTACAACATGACAACAACATTTCTTGGTTTATATTGAGTAAATGTGACTTTAAAGGTTCAATAACCGGGTCAGATGGTAATTCAGACATCACAGTGTTTCGGTTTGTGAGTTTAGACTCATTTGTAAAAAGATGAATTAGCAGAGTGCAATAGAAAGATGTGTTGTCTATTTTCTTTCTGTTTTTTTTTTAAGTGCACAAATGTTCAAAAAACAATAATGGAACTGAAAGAAAAATTTAAAAGATAAAAAAATAAAAATAAGATACCATTCAAATGGTTTTGGGTTGGTCAGATTAAAAAAAAAAAAAAAAAAAAAAAGGGCCGAATTTTTTTTATTTTTTTTTTAAGTGCACAAATGTTCAAAAAACAATAATGGAACTGAAAGAAAAATTTAAAAGATAAAAAAATAAAAATAAGATACCATTCAAATGGTTTTGGGTTGGTCAGATTTAAAAAAAAAAAAAAAAAAAAAGGCCTGCATTTGTTTGATCAAAAATACAATAAAAACAGTAATATTGTGAAATATTATTACAATTTCAAATGGCAGGTTTCTATTTTAAAATGTCATTTATTCCTGCAATGTTAAAGCTGAATTTTCAGCAGCCATTACTCCAGTCTTCAGGGTCACATGTTCTGTCAGAAGTCATCTAACATGCTGATTTGTTGCTCAAGAAACCATAATATCAGCGTTGAAAACAGTTGCGCTGCTTAATTTTTGTAGAAACCGTAATCTGTTTTTCAAAAGAACAGCATTTATTTGAAATGGAAAATGTTAAATAAATGGCATGAGTGTGACTTTTGATGAATTTATGCATCCTTGTGAAACGGTAGTGTTTAAAATAAAGAAAATAAATATAAATTCTGTATTTGAATTAATCCTAACCCTAATTACAAGTACAGAATGCACCCTTTTCATTAAAGGGGTCCTATTATGCTCTTTTACAAAGTCCTGATTATGTTTTGGGGGTGTACTAGAACATGCTCTCATGCTTGGTGGTTCGAAAAACGCATTATTTTTCACATAATTTGCATTATTAAAATACCTTTCTCCCCAGCCTGGCACAAACGGCTCGATTAGTTCCGGCTTTGATGAAGGTCCCTACACACTGACTAAAATTTAAAAAGTGAAAAAGCATAATAGGACCCCTTTAATATAATTGGTTCGTTTCAAGTTCATATTCCAAAAGGGCCATAAGACATGTTCTGAAGTCTTATTGCTCTGATTTAATAGGTGAGGAGGAGTCTCTAAGCAAGAGTTTCGACCTGTTTGACACCCTGGATGTGCGGTACCACAACAAGTTTTTCCGTAGCATCGGCGTGAGCAACAACGCCATCAAGGCCGAAATGCAGCACCCTGTGGACAAAGTCTACGACCTACTGCAGGTTTGGATGCAAAAAGAGGGCCTGCGGGCAAACATCAACACGTTACTACAGGCTCTGCTAGACCTGGACCAGCGGTATTCAGCAGAACACATCGCCTCCAAGGCTGTTGAACGAGGCTTCTACAAATATGAGTGATGTCTCTTCAAGATTGCAAGATATTTGTTGAGTACAAGAACTAAGTAATGGAGAGGTGTAAATTCGTTTTGATTTCTCCCCAGTGGGTCTGTGGGTCTCATTGCATGAACTTGATGTCCTGTTACGGAGACATTGGAGAATCACCTCTCTGTAGCGCCCACGTTGAGTTTAGAAGCCAACACTGGACCTTTTTTGAGGATTTACACTGGCTAGCAGCAGAGGGCGATGTGTTCCCTCTCAACCGTGCATTGTAGTGTTACTTGATGCACTGACCTCAGGCTTTTAAACTACAGGTTGGTCCAAAGCCTACATATAGATGTCATTAAACCTTTGGTTACGCCAAATGTTCAAACTAAAACAAGTGTATTTAGTACTGACAGGCACAAACGGAAGATGTTCACAAGCTTCACACTACATGTAGTCATATTTCTGCAGTGAATCACTTCTGTTCTTAGCTACAAACCTTGTGAAACTCGGTTACAAATGAACAAATATGCTTCAAGATGAGTTTAGAACTTGGTTCAGGTTGAGTTTTGGATTTCAGACGTATATCAGCAGTTTAGGGTTTCATTTGAAGTTCAGAACATGATTTTTTTTTTTGAGAAGCGCAGCGTCGCGTTGCGCCACGTCTTTAAAATTCAAATACTTTCTTTTCTATGAGTGTAGGCACACCGGCGGCACCATTTGGCGTCTGTCCGCGGCGCCCAGCTACGTCGTGTTGTACTTGTAAGAATTGTTCTAGGTAGTCATATTTCTGCAGTGAATCACTTCTGTTCTTAGCTACAAACCTTGTGAAACTCGGTTACAAATGAACAAATATGCTTCAAGATGAGTTTAGAACTTGGTTCAGGTTGAGTTTTGGATTTCAGACGTATATCAGCAGTTTAGGGTTTCATTTGAAGTTCAGAACATGATTTTTTTTTCTTTGGATATTCCAGAATATCTCGTAGTCAGGCTGCCCCTGAATTTTGCCAGTCTGTGAAAGGTGATTTTTATTTTTTTTTCCCACAAATGACCCTTCTTCATCTGTTTGGTGCGAGGATGAGATGTTTTTCAACCTTCTCGACCTCCGTTTTCCTTATTTATATTTAAATAAGTGATGTATTTATTTGTTTTGTGTAATTACGTATTATTTATACCTGTTACCAATATTCACCTACAGTAAGTGTTCCTGAAGAATTTATCGCGCCTTTCAGGCGGCATGACTGAGATGTTCAACAGACAAATCCTTCTGGTCCTTTCACAAGCAGATTAGTGCCATCTTCATATAGGTTTCTGTAGCTAAGGCATTTCTTCATTTACCCCGAGTGTGTCGTCTACTACAGACACATCATTTCTTGTTATATGAATCACAAAACGTGTCCTTTGCTGTGGATTTTATGTTCCCAGCTAATGGTGTTGTCGTTTATGTTCTGAAAAGATAAAGAAAAGCTTGAAAGAATACCACGGTCAGTATCTCTTGGACGCTTGTATCTGCTTCCACAGGTTGAATTAAAATCGAGGATAAGGAGGCATTTCAAACTTATGCTCGCTGTTCTTGTTTTATATGCGGTAGTGCACAGGTACCTGTTTTAGATGGTTAAAAGATGAAGGAAATTTATGTTCATCCACAAACTACTTAGTTTAACTGCCTTTTGTCTAGTATGTAAATAGTTGTCAAGAATTCTATTAAACGAAACTAATAGATATATATTTATGGAAGCCCTGAGAGCACAACGTAATGAAGTACTGCCTAAAAACCAAGCCGAAGGAACAAATTGAAATTAAAATGAACAAGCGGAATAGCTATTATCTCAATAAACAGGGCTTCTTAATTAATTTACGTAGCAGTAAATGAACTGTGACGTCTGACTCGGCTGTATAGCTATGTAGCTGTATTGGTGTATGAAATATATTTTCAGAACAGATCTCAGATCAGCTTCACCTTCTAACAGACTTGTCTCGCCCTCCCTTCCCCATGTAATTATGAAATTGTAGAGCTGTCATACAGTGCAGGCACTGCCACCTATTGACATAGATTTGAATAGCAAGAGAAAAACCTGCATCAATTTCAAGGGACCTTTTTCCACATCTTCACAGCCTTTTCTACACATCTGCCATCTTTTTGCACTGAATTTAACAGAATGTCTCTTCAGATGTAGGTGCGAGCTTTTACCTCTGAGCAGTTCAGTGCCATCTGTTTCTCTGTGTTTTCAGAGGTTTTTATAATATTTTTTTTGTTTTGTTTTATATCGACTCCACGTTGTTCCTGCCTTGACGCCTAACACAGACGCATGCCTCAGTGCTCACTCTTGCTTCATTTTCTCAATATCTCTCTATGAGTAGAAGTTTTGTATCTCTTTTTTTCCCCTTAGACAATTGTTTGCTCGTTTATGAATGTAAAATGTTTGCTGTTGCAAAGGTGTTTGTAGAATGTTTTTGTTTTAAAATAAAAAAAACACCAAAAAGTTTCCGTGGCAAGTTCATCCATCAGAAGTCCAAGAAAGAAAGTAATTGTGTGTGTTTTTTTGTTTTGTTTTATGGAGTTATTGTGTTAAATGTTAAGTATATAATAATAATTTCTAAATAATTTTGCAATCAATTCCTTTATCTTTTAAAAATAACTTTATTATTCATTTATTTTATTATAATACTGTATAGCCTAATACTGAAGAATTTACTCTGAAATTAACTGAACATGGAATTTAGAGCCACATACTGAGATAAAGAAAACGTTAATGTTTCATAAAAGAGAATGGTATGCAGTGACATATTAAGACTTTTAACATGAAACATCAAAATAAACAGCAATTTTACAAAGTCACACAATGTAACTAAGACATACAGTGACGAAATCATCTAGGCTACTTTAGAGTTATTTTTATGTGCATTGCAATAGAAAAATATACAAACAAACAATCTCTCAAAATATGATCATTGTAATGATGCTGATAGTATGATGAGCTGAGGTATCAAGGTGCCAAACGTGTGTTTTACCAGCCAGTCTGTATGTAATCTCTTATCTCCAGGTTGTCTGAATAGTAAAATCTTGCCTGTAGCAAACTCTGCAGTTGTCATGATATAATAATTAGGCTTTATGGAGAGTGTGTCCTCCGCACTCAGCTGGGCATCTCCAAATGTCTCTGCAGGCTCCTGCTGACTCTAAGAACTTCCATGGAGACAGAATCCACATTCCCTGAAGCAAGAGGCTGCACACACTCCTGGATATGAGACATAAAAGCACAGCCAAACAATCATCAAATAACCTTTAATGCTGCTCTCCACAAACTGGCATTAAAAGAAACTGGGTCTCATTCACTAATAATTGTGTGGATTTATTGCGTATTTATACGTGCAGGAGAACGTGTGTACATATATGAATTGTACTTCATTCTAATGTTAATACATTTGGAGTGCTCTAAATGAGTGACCACGTGCCCTAAGTTAATAAATTAACAATCACCACCAATAAGCACCCAAATCAGCTCCATATAAGAACTTTCCGCGCAACTCTCCTCACATGACGCAATCAAAAGCCGCGTTCTCGCTGAGAGCACGTGCAACAAGCAAGACCCTTTTTATACATTTAAGATAAATTATCTAAGATGTAATCTTGACTTGTTTATAACGCTAGTCAGAGTATGCAATTTTTGCATATGTGTGGTTTCAGTTCTTACATTTTTTGTAAATTTATACGAAATTTGAATACGAAATTTACTGGTGAATCATGATTTCTTCATGTAAAGGCAGATTTCACGCAGAAAATAATGAATGAGATGCATATTCTACAAATAATCTAATTCAGCTGGAAAATATTTACCACAGTCTAGGAAGGGTGCACATATATGGTCTTTGGTCTTTCTCAGAGTGGAACCAAAACTAATGCTGGTATAAGTATGGACTACTGTAGCTGGTCTTGTTCATATGTGGTTTTCAGAAGCTCAAAGACGGAAAGCACTTCAAAACCATCTCAGTTTCTTTCTTGGGTGACTTGCTCCCATCCTTATCGTGGAGATATTAACTGAGCTCCAAAAACAAAAACTTCCTTCAAAGGTTGAATCCACATCATTAGCAAAAAATAAAAACCGTGGCTATATTTGAGATTGTTTAAAGCTCCTGAAGGATTCTTGTCTTATAAGTCATTTAAGTCGATGAGTTTCAGGTATCATTACAATCTCATTCTGTTGACATTCACTTGCCCAGTATGCCTGTGAGAGGCTGGTCAGACCCTGATGTGCTGTCTGTGTGTGGAGGGTCGATAACACTTAGTATCATGGTACTGGAGGTCTTTTTGTGTGTGATGGCGCTGAGAAGGTTCATGGGGGGGAACATGTTAGATGTAGGCCTCTCTGGTTCACCCTCCCATGCTGGTTTGCTCCACGATCTGATCCCTCCCTGTCTGCATGTTGTCTCCAGGCCCCGTCTGGATTCCACTGCTGAGATGCCCACTCGTTTGTGACACCTCCAGAACCAACAGGAGCATGAGCTACAGCAGCAACCTCTTGCACCAGAGCATCCTCGAGTGAGCAGAGCCAGCAGGTCCCTTTTGAAGGTGGTGTTGAGGGCAGCATAAACCAGCGGGTTACACACAGAGTTGCTGAATCCCAGGATCTGAACCACGCTGACTAGGAGAAACTCGGAGTCAAGATCCAGGTCCAGTTGACCTGGGTTCAGAGAACAGACATGCAAGGTACAGTTATAAAATGGAAATTTCTCTACAAATCAAGAAAAAACTTTCATAAAATGCTTCAGGATTGACTTTTAAGGTTTTTGTGTTAAAGGGGTCATATGACGATGCTAAAAATAATGTTATTTTATATTTGGTGTAATGCAATGTTTTTACACGGTTTAAGGTTTAAAAAACACATTATTTTCCACATACCGTACATTATTGTTGCTCCTCTCTGCCCCGCCTTTATGAAACACATAGATTTTTACAAAGCTCATCGTTCTGAAAAGCGAGGTGTGCTCTGATTGGCCAGCCATCCAGTGCGTTGTGATTGGCCGAATACCTCAAACGTGTGACCGTAATGTTACTCCCCTTGCCATATTTGGAAACACACAGCGTCTCCACGACATAGCAGCGCCAGCAACAAGGCTACTACAGCAAGAAAAAAAGTTACGCCTTCTTTCTTTGCGTAAACATTTGGGCGGTGTTATGCAAATCTTCCAACACAGTGACGTAGATATGTGGGAGCGTGTTTAAATGAGGCGTTTTAGGAAGGCGTGGACGAGTCTTAACTTTTATAAAGAATATCTCTTTGGGTTTGAGACTTTAGTCTTTGCAGCTTTACCGGATCTTATATATGCATGAACAGCTTGTAACACTCCAAAGAAAATTTGAAATCGCGTCATATGACCCCTTTAAAAACACAAGATGTAGGGTAATGGACTAAAAAAATGCCAGGTCTAGAGTATATATTAGCTATATTAGCATCCATACTAATGCAAAATAGCAATCTACGTGTGACCGTAATGTTACTCCCCTTGCCATATTTGGAAACACACAGCGTCGCCACGACATGGCGGCGACAGCGACAATACTACAGCGAGAATAAAAGTCACGCCTTCTTTCTTTGCGTTACGGATCTTATATATGCATGAACAGCTTGTAACACTCCAAAGAAAATTTTAAATCGCGTCATATGACCCCTTTAAAAACACAAGATGTAGGGTAATGGACTAAAAAAATGCCAGGTCTAGAGTATATATTAGCTATATTAGCATCCATACTAATGCAAAATAGCAATCTGTTATAACAACGTGCTGCAGTTATGTCCTCTGCCACTTTAACTGGTCAAGCTCTTTAAGATCAGGTGAATTATGATTGACTGGCAATTTTTTTTATCATTCATCAGCTGGAAAAATAATATTCTAAAGTGATTCCAACAATATCCTTCCATCCTATTCATATAGAATTAATGATTATTAAAACCTTATAGTTAGTTATCGTCCTTGGTGTGAACAGCCTTTTACGTTTTGCATTTTTGCTCTACCAAAGCAAACAGTTCCAAATGAAGCCACAGCAGAACCAATCTGCGTCTCTGAGAAACATAGTGTTTTGTTCTTTAATGTTTTGAACAAATTGATAGAATGACTCATACAATGACTCGCTTCATCTGTGGTTTTAAACAAATCAGTTTCATATAAGTCAGTGATTCAATCACTCACTCACAAAGAAGTCACTTGTTTAATTCCTATGTGCTTTCATTTATTTATTTCATTTACAGTACACTGTAGAAAGTGAGTCTCTGGAGATGCAAGCATGTTAGTGTCACATGATTTTTCATTGTTTCTTTAAACCTTCATTTCCATACCGGACAGGCTCCAGTGTGTCTGCTTTTGAATGTCTTTTCACTGGAAATAGAAGAAATTGGTTATGCTGTCTTGCGAATGGCTTTTGTTGCAGCTGAGAAGAGAAGCACATGAACCGCAGAAAAAAACAGAAGAAACGTACTGCGTGTTGTGCACATGACAATGGAGTGGACAGAATACTGGGCATGGAAAAATTTATATTTCTTATAAATCAGTGTATTAAAATGTTCATAAAAAGACTGAAACCTTGAGGAGTAAGTGTAGATGGAAAATTGCACTGAAAAATAGGAAGGGAAACAAGTCTTGCTTGATATTTTGCACTTGCTTATGAAGTATATTTGGTGTTATTTCGATTTTTTGCACAAATTATATTAATTATATTTATATATTATTATATGAATTATATATATTAATTAAGGAATAAAATACGTACATAAAATGCTCCACCTGTATTAATGCATTTTTATGTGATATCACACAATCTGTGTATGGAGACAATAGCACTACACCAAACTCACAATAGTTGCCATAGTGATAACTGTGAGAGGAATAATAGAACAAACGATTGCATGTCGAAGGTTCACAGGAACGAGGTGTTGACTTCTACGAAAGGTTGAGGAGGAGGAAAGTGGAAAAGAAGGAGAGAATCTGAAGTGAGAATGTGTTTACTGTACTCTCACAGGAAGGACAGCAGTTGACTGACAGACACGGAGGGAGACCAGATGGAAAGGCGCCCAGCATGCGACAAAGAGCAGCACCACGGTGGCCATCATTCTTACTGCACGCTTCTTCCTCCTGAGAATGGAAGGCATGTGACATGTGTATTGTTACAGGCATGTCAATAACAGTACAATACAGGGGCGTCAATCACACACCATTTCATTTGTACCAGTCTACCAAGACCATGTGAATCGAGAGCAACAATGCAGACGTTATTCAATACCGGCAATCAAAGCATCTGCTAAATAGGCCTTTCAAAAGCAGAGTGTAATTCGCAGAATTATATGGACAAATAATTTTTTTGTTGTTGTTGTTGTTTATTGTCAAAATCATAAGGATTCTCATCACATGGCTATCCATGCTGTGCATGCTTTTTCTGGCTCTTTGGTGAATAGAGATGGAGCAATGACACCCTGTTATAAATGTTATAAAACTGAATGTTGCATTTTAAGCTCGGCCTATAATTTTGTACCATATTAATGTATTTACATCTCTTATGGATATTAACCATGGTTTTAGGAAAAGTGTAGTAACCATGTTTTGTTTTTTTTGGTGTATTGATTACCATTTGTATAATATACCAATATTTGTATAATAAACCAATATTTTACTACAAATACCATGGTTAAACTATGGTTATTTTGTGGTTACCATGATTGAACTATAGTAACCATGTTTTTTTTTGTTTTATTTGTAGTAAAACCATGGTTAACTTTATTAAGGGTTTGCAATGATGCAACATTGCAAAACCTTTAAAAATAATCATTAAAGGGTCATTTGCCCAAAAATGCATTTTCTGTAATCATTAATTCACCCTCATATCATAAAACATGTTTATTGCTTTATTCTGTGGAACATAAATTAAAATATTTTGAGAAATGTCTCTCTTTACAAAATGGAAGCCAATGGTCACCAAAATTTTGTCTTTGGTGTTGCACAGAAGTCATCCAGATTTGGAATGTCATGAGGGTGAGTAAATGATGACAGAATTTTTATATTTGTGTGAACTACAGGTATCTGTTTAAAGGGATAGTTCACCCAAAAATGAAAATTTGATGTTTATCTGCTTACCCCCAGGGCATCCAAGATGTAGGTGACTTTGTTTCTTCAGTAGAACACAAACAGAGATTTTTAACTCAAACCGTTGCAGTCTGTCAGTCATATAATGGAGGTGAATTGGAATCACGGCTTTGAGAGTCAAAAAAACATACACAAACAAAACCAAATTAAACCCTGCGGCTCGTGACGATACATTGATGTGTAAAGACACGAAACGATCTGTCTGTGCAAGGAACTGAACAGTATTTATATAGTTTTTTTACCTCTGATTCACCGTAATGTCCGAACTGTCCCGAGCGCGTTCTCAACAGCCGGCACGTGACGCGTCTTCTTCTTCTTGCTTTACGGCGGATTGCAGACTTATAAGTGCATTACCACCACCTATCTCTCAAATGGACCATTGACACTCTATCTACAATCTCAATTAGGAGTGTCACTTATAAATCTGCGTTCCACCGTAAAGCAAGAAGAAGAAGAAGACGCGTCTTGCACCGGCTGTTGAAAACGCGCTCAGGACAGTTCGGACATTGCGGTGTGAGTTAAAAATCTTCGTTTGTACTCTCCTGAAGAAACAAAATCACCTACATCTTGGATGCCCTGGGGGTAAGCAGATAAACATCAAATTTTCATTTTTGGGTGAACTATCCCTTTAATGATGTACAGAGTACAGTGACCCAGTAGTGCACAACACAATGGAAACAAGCCGCAACACAATGAAATTAGCACAGAATGATGGAAACAAGCTGCAACACAACGGAAACAAGTCGCGACAAAACAAAATTAGCATAACACAACGGAAACAAGCCGCAACACACTGAAATTAGCACATCACAACGGAAACAAGCCGCAACAGAACGAAATTAGCACAACACAACGGAAACAAGCCGCAACAAAATGGAAACAAGCCGCAACACAATGAAATTAGCACAGCACAGCGAAATTAGCACAACACAACAAAATTAGTCATGCATTGTGTTGAGTCATATAGCCTACTTGTATACTACATTATTTGTATACTACATAATTTTACCTAATAGGATAGTTCACCTAAAATGTTTTATTCTTCATTAGTTTCTCACCCTTATGTTTTCTTCTGTGGAACACAAAAGACAATATTTTTTTTTTAAAAACACTACGGTGTATTTTGTCCACACAATGAAAGTCAGTGGGGTCCAATGTTGTTTTGTGCATTATGTGGACAAAAAGGATGAAACATTCTTTAATATATTCAAAAGAAAAAGTAAAAAAGTAATTGCTTTTATATTACAGTCCAATAAATAAGAGGTTAGTATTGAGAACTTATTTTTGACACAATTTTATCGTTTAACACCAAAACTGACAACTATATTAATGCACCAGTGCACGATAACATTCTGTTCATTATAAGTGTGTGCCGCAGTTTTGCTCTCTGCTGCTTTAAAGGGGTAATGAACTGAGAAATCAAAATTCACTTGGTCTTGTCATTGTACTATAAAAACATCTTGTAGGTTTCAGAACTCAAAACTTTGTCGTTAGTCTAAAAACAGCTTATATTGAAGGCAGTCTGCCAAAACGACAGCTTTTGGCATGTTCTACTCTATGAAGTAATAGTATGGATAAGCACTGCCTCCGCAGAAGCAGATCAACATTACTGCTTGTGTTTACAAATGAGGCACAATTCGACGCAGGATTTTTGAAAAGATTGAAACTAAAACACGATGCTGTGCCGACTATTGGATCCGACATTAATGTCGCAAAACGCAAGTGCGAATAACTGTTTTCATTACGTGGTCACTATTGCTTTGTAACTTCTTACAGATCGTTTGATATGTATTTAGTTATTTATGCATTTTAAACCTAAATCACAGTGGCATCCATCTATGAGGAATGAATGTACACTGTGAGCCAATCATTGCAGTGGGCGTTTACTTCCGAGTCTACAATCTTCCACACCTATTCAAACAGAGCGTTCTGATGAGGGGGTGTAATGTGGGGTTTGGGTTTTGTTTTTGTTTCATGTTCATGTCCATGTCTTTTATTTTGTAATTGGGGGTTAAAAATAGGACAGAAAATAGCTTAATACTTCTAAATTATGATGTTTTTTCATGATTCATGATTCATGTTCATGACCCCTTTAAATGCTCAAGCTCCTTAAAATCAGGTGGATTTTTGGGTGAAGTATCCCTTTAGTATATTTTGCCTCTTACTGTAATTGTAACTTTGGTTGACGTTAAGTTAATATTAATGTTTTGTTTAATGCATAATTTCATTTTTGAGACAATAATGATCTAAACAATTAAATAGTAAGCGAACCCCCTGTTGTAGACTAACCTGGTAATCTTGTTAATTTCAGATCCTGGGAGCGTTTGAAACATGGCGTTGTGTACTTTGTGCTTGCCCCAGAGCTCCCGCATGATCTTCCAGTAGAGGATGGCCATGGTCGTCAAGGGGGCCAGAAACACCAGGACGGACAAACAGGTAGTGTAGGATCTCCTCTGGTGCTGGCTTGGCCATACTTCCAAACAACAGGTGTGGTGGACATCAAACAGAAAGTCATATTTCACCTGGGTAGTTAAATATGAGGAAACTTATTATATGAATCCTTCATTCTTTTCTATTTGAAAAAAAAGACAGATGGAGAGAATTCTAGAGGCAGCTAAATATTCAAATATTCAATCTAATGAATTTGTTTAGCAAATAATATTGTATAATGCTGCTCATAATGATGCTTTTTAATTCACAAATGAATTACAACGGTCTGATTTACTGACTGACAGGCATTGCTAATGGTTAAAGGCAGCTTTTTGTCCTTCTTATGAAGCTTATCTGCTGAATGCCTAAAACAGCATGACATCAATCATCATTTGATTGGAGTGATGCATACAAAATGTCTTTGAGGGAAAAAATGTGTGAAAGCTGCACATGCAAGGACAACATAAAGCAAAAACACAAACATGATAAGTGGAAGGCATTATTATATCAATGAATATATAATGGACATTGCATTTGAAGCCCTCAATGGTCTCCTCTAGCATAGCAACATCTAATTTGATTCTAATAGTGTTGATGTGTCTGTTATCTCTGGTGGTAGCTGCAGTGAATAAAAAATCACAGGTCAAAGAGTCAAGACACATTCTGCTTATAGTTAAACCATCAGCCGCTTTTTTCTATTTCTTTCATGTAATCTTTTGGTTTAATAATTGCAAAGCATTTCATAATCTTAATGAAAACTAGGAAATTTCTTTCTTTCCTCAGATAGATTTAGCTGATATTAGTATTTGAGCTAAATACTGATTTTTATGCCCTATTTCATTGTGTTCCTTATCTTTGACTGTTAATGACTTGAGTTTTGTCTGTTAGATTATATGTCTCTGCACCTGAGTTTGAGCAATCTCTAAATTGCTTGTTTAATCTAAAAATAGTGGTCTAGAGGTTGCATGTTTACCTCCACTTTCTGAACAAACCACATAGGAGCCGCGATTGCCAGGGCAACCAACCACACGACCACTGTAAAATGAGGGACAAGACATAATATTTTGTTTATTTTTTTATAGTGTCACTATTGTCTAACTCAGTTTCAAAGTGAGGTCTGGGGACAGCAAGGAGTCCACAAACTAAATTATATTAAAACAACAACAACAACATTTTTTCACAATAACTTCTTTAATCTCTCTTTCCACAACTCACCCAGCATCTTGAAGGCATGACAAAGAAAGTAGCTGTTGCGGACATGCAGAGGATAAAGGATTCCCTGGAAACGCTCTACAGCAATACAAGTCATGGTGAGCATGCTGGTCGCAATGGCTGTCACTTGTAGGAATGGTATTAACTTGCACAGGAAATCACCTGTGGGTCAAAAAATAAATGAGGCACAGTGAGTGAATCGGTGAGTCAGACAATTATTGAATTAGAGAGCAGGCAAATGAACTGATGAAAGACTGTGTACAATATTGAATAACAAACCGGCTGACCTGTTTTCATATATACACAGTAGATAGGTTTAACTGTTGACACGTAACAATACAAGAAAAAGTATACCAACGAGGCTTGCAGAGCAATTTCAAAATAATAGAAGGAAATGTGTGGGCAGTGAATGTATGGTCTTTATGGACAATGATGAGGACAGAGGGGTGTAGTAGGACAACAGGCTTCATTTTCTGACACAATGTTCCTCATAATTACAATACAGGAAATCAGATTGGGTTTGTGTTGCCATGGATTTAAGGAGCAATCTTCTCCCAGCAGTTCTGAGGAGTCTTCTGTAAGCTACTAATTCTTATTTTCCAGCTCACTGATCCTACATAATTCCAAAAGCACACTGGCATAATTCACCTGTTGCATGCTGGACATGACTGTCCTTCATTATGTGATGTCATTAGATGAAAGGTCATTGACTCTTGCAATTGATAGAATCTAAAACATAACTTGATGCATACTAATAGCATAAGCAATGCAAACTATGCCTGATTTGTAGAGTATTACTGATAATTGAGGTTATATTTGAATTATTTTTTGTTCTGGTCTATGTCAAGCATTCAGTTTTGGCTGGGTAACATGGTCCAGTTGGATCCTGCTGGTTTATGTCATAACTATACCATCTGGCTGCAAATGCATCTTTTTTCATTGACGGCCATTCAACGGTAGTCATGTACACTCTTAAAATTAAAGGTGCTTCACGATGCCATAGAAGAACCTTTTTTGTCTAAATGGTTCCATAAGGAACCTTTAACATCTGAAGAATCTTTTTGTTTCACAAAAGGTTCTTTGTGGCGAAAGAAGGTTCTTCAGATTATAAAAAGGTAAGAAAGAGATGGTTCTTTAAAGAACCTTTGACTGAATGGTTCTTTGTGGAACCAAAAATGGTTGCTTATACAGTCGAGCCGACTGTTGCAACGAACGCAACTTTCACCGCACGAGCTCTTTACTTTCAGTTTTCATTCTTACATTCAGCATTAACAGTAATCCAAAATGGGTAAACTTTCAACTGAACTGTATAGCCTACATGCATTTTAGATGCTTATATTATGCTCTTGCCCCATCCATGCACATTATTATATGAGCGGGTTTTTTAAACATTAAAACTGCTCAAGTAATTTCAGTGGTAGGCTATGATACATATTCATGTAGCCTATTAAACTCCCCGTAACTCACAAACTCCCCGTAATAGCGCGCAAATATTTCTGCCCGTTTTCGCTCGTTGTCAGCCTCTGCTTTTCTGCAACAGACTGAAGCTCCGGGTGAATTCAGCGCGACTTGCATTCAGGAAATAAAAGAAAAATTCTGCAATTTTCTGGTGTTATTTTATTATTGTTGGGGCAGTCTCCAGCTATATCTTAAACTTCTTAAAATACAGTCCACTTCAGATTGGTTTTAATCACTGCATAAAAAAAAAATTACGCAATCTTTATCTAATTCTGATTGGGTGGGCAAGACTGTCATTTGGGTGGGCTTAATTCAACTGTTGTTGAATTGTAGTTTTGTGAAAGATGGAAAAAACATGCAGAAAGCACAGAAAACCTTTACCTTTTGAACAATACTACAGACTACCATCTATGAGCACTGAATTGTGAGATAAATGGACTGGGGGTCAAATGCTTCAAGTGTTTCACTCGTCAGTGTCTTTGATCATGCATGAACTATATATCCTTAAAGCTTTACTTTACCGTCACGTAATAGAGTTGAAGTTGATGCAACAGGAACATTGGGAAGAATTGGGTGTCCAAATGGATATAGACTCTTATGACACATAAAAATAACAGAAACTAACATTTCTGTCAAGCGTGAACATAATTAAGCCTACCTGCCAACCAGTTGGTGAAGAAGTGCTGCAGCAGTGTGGCAGGAACACACACTATGGATATCAGGAGGTCACTGAGTGCCAGAGAACAAATGAAGAAGGTGCTGGGAGACTGCAGAGCCTTCCTGCGACATAAGAGAACCAGCACCGCCCCGTTTCCCACCACCGCAAGCCCAAAGATGAGCACGTAGAGCAGACCAAAAACTGGAAGCAGGGTGCTAGGGAGTCTGGGCACGGCCACCAGAGGAGGAATGGAGAATTCCTGGATGAACTGCCAGCGAGAGAGGTTGGAAGCCTTCAGCATGTGGTCCAGAAGATGGGCGGTCAGGTTCATACTGATCGTCTTCTAGGGTTTTATCTGTTTGAAAATCACCAGTATATGTGTGATGATTTGGTTTTAGCAGCGATTGTGGTCTAGCAACTTGTTTTAACAATCTGTGGAGTCTGATCTTCACAATTTCTTTGATTTTACATTAATGAATGGTTATGTGTGCTGTATTGATCTGTCTCTCTTTGTAAATGATGGCTTACAGGCATTTTTCATGGTTGTTCCTTGTTGTTGTTGAAAACAGTCATGCCTTTATCTCATTCCTATTAAGAACATGCTTTGTAAGCATTGATTTTAAGCCACTTGGGACAGTCTGTAGTGTTTATTGTAAGGTTGCTACTCAGCTTGACAAAAACCTCTTTAGTCAAAAATTGTGTGATACCAGCATTATAATAACGGCCCACTGTCCACTCTCATTATGTCAGTAGAATGTCCTTTAGCTGTTCTAGCTCCTTCTTGCTAATGCTTGATATCACATCGTCTCATGATTCATTTTTCGCACAATCCTTAGTTATCGTCACAGTCCAGGTGTCTGTAATTGTATTGCTTTCTCCATTCTGGATTGAGTTCAGTCAATCTTCACCTTGTAATCTTGCAATATGCTGACAAATGAAGAAACATGGTTCTGTTCAGATGATTTGAATATCCTTGTTCTGAGAACAAGGTCCAAACTTTTGGGTAAAACCTGTCAATATATAGTTTACTCAAAATAAGCACAAAATAAAAATAAAATATTATCATAGTTTAGAGGACAGCACTCCTTTTACTCAGTATTTTCACCCTTTTTTTATTTAAACGAAAAATATGAGAAAAACGCATATTTGTGTAACTTATTGACTTGAAATCTTTGTTTACTGAGGTACAGTTCTTGAGACGTCACCTTTTCTTGCACCGTTCCCCCATATTAATATAATATTCTCTTAAAATTATAATGTTGTAATTATATAACAGTAAATTTGATTTACATTAGAGAAAATTACTGTTTGCATATTTTTGGATTTGAACAAGCATTGCGATTATGATGAATGCATCTATGTTGTAAATATCAAGTAGCCTATAATAACGTTCTATAATAACATAATCAAATACGGGACGATCAATTTTAAGATATTTACTGCCATATAATCGTTAATTGAAAACAAAGTTAATAAAATGTTAATCTAATGTTGCATGAACTTAAAAGTGATATTGTCAAAGGTTACGACTGCAGGTAAAACACTAAACAAACAGTAAACAGATTCGACAGAAAACATCGAATGTTAAAAAACACGCGAAATCGAATCATCCTCACATCTAGACAGGCGACTCGAGATGATATTATGAAGTAAACTAATAAATAGTCCACACATTTTCTTTCAACAGATCATACAAATAATGGCAAACGTTTCCATTCTCTGTTTAAAGAGAGATGTTTCACACAAATTGCAAAAACACCGCGCTGTGATCTGATCCGGTGTCTCGTTATTCCTTCAAAGTTTCTCCGACGCTCGTTTGAACTTCTCCCTTCATCATCCTATTGAACGGCTCTCTAAACCATATTCTGCTCCTCAGCACATCTAGCGCGTTTTATCTATATATTTATTTTCTTACCTGGAATTAGTCGGTCATGCTTTCCTCTTGCAAGACAACAACAGTCAAACAATGACAGTCCAACACTGAACTACTGTAGGTATAATCAGTTGACAGAGCTACAGCAGAAACACTAGCCTGGGCTGTGACGCTTATCTAGTATACTTTTCCCCTTCATCTTTCTTTCTTTCTTTCTTTCTTTCTTTCTTTCTGTCTAACGTTATCTATCTTAGATCAACGACAAAAAAGTAACAATGCAGTTTGTATGGTCATTTACAATTATTACTGTACTGTAATAATACTGTAATTATTACAATTAGCTTGACTTCAGTTACAGGAAACATACAGGGAAAAAAGCTGCCATAAACTTACTTACTTTAGAATTATATTTACAATTGTAACATTATATGTTTAATATAAAGGGGGAAGTCGTGGCCTAATGGTTAGAGAGTCGGACTCGTAACCCAAAGGTTGCGGGTTCGAGTCTCGTACCGGCAGGGATTGTAGGTGGGGGGAGTGAATGTACAGGGCTCTCTCCCACCTTCAATACCACTACTGAGGTGCCCTTGAGCAAGGCACCGAACCCCCAACTGTTCCCCGGGCGCCGCAGCAAAAATGGCTGCCCACTGCTCCGGGTGTGTGTTCACGGTGTGTGTGTGTTCACTGCTGTGTGTGTGCACTTTGGATGGGTTAAAATGCAGAGCACTTTATTTATGGGTCACCATACTTGGCCACATGTCACGTCACTTTTCACTAAAGTGACACCCATGATAGGAAATAGTTTGGACAGCAATGGAGAAGCTGATCTTGGTTACAAGTCAACCTGACATTTTAATGACAAAAGAACCCCGAACAAATAAGCTAATTGTTTGAAGAGTTACTTTCATTTGATCTCTATGTAAATGTAATGTAAAAAAAAAAATGCGACCAGCTGTGGGCCTTTCATCATTAATTCCACATTACATAACTACAATTACATAATTTATGTAATTACAATTTTACTGCAAGAATACTATGATTGTCCTATGGTCTGGTTAGTGTGTTGCTATCATTCTCAAGCCCCAGTGCATGATTTTCAACTCTTTTTAACTTGCCATTGAAATAGTAGAAGTGATTATTTTCATCTTCAGCATTAACTTTATTGATATTATTTTGGGTAATTTTTTTAGAATTCTTGATATTTACTCAGAGGTGATGATTGCAGTGTATTCTGCAATATGAAAGATAGCTCTGTTGTCTCTTGCTTATGTTTCACAGTTGAAGGCTCTTGTGGTTTTGGTGTGGTATTGTATAACATAATTTGAATCATCTTCTCCTGGCATCTTTTCATCCCAGAGGTGGTGCGATGAATTAGTCCAAAGCAACCATCTTCATCTGTAGGCAGTGATCCTTCTGCTTCTTTGCTTGGTGGTGTTTTATCTTCTGGTGTCAGTTTCTCAATTTCTTTTGTGCATTCTCTTTCAGGAAGTTCTCTTGTCATTTCTATCTGATGTTTAGTCACTATGACCGTGTGTTCATGTCTTCTTAAAGGGGTGGATGTAACTAATTCATTAGTGCCTTTTGTTGCGAGATGTTCCGAACTTAAACCATCATATTTCGACTGCCTTTCTTCGTGTGTGGTATCTGTTCTCTTCACAGGTGTTTTCAGGTGTTCTGGTGTTTCCGTTGTACGTTCTGTTTCAAGACTCTGTATTGTCATTCTTTTCTCATGTTCAGTCCTAATTAAATCAGCATTTTCTTGCTGTAACTAATTCATTTATACCTTCAGTTGCAAGGTGTTCTGACTTTAAATCACTATTTTCCATCATCTTTTTCTGGCATATTTTCTACCTAGAGCTGGTGCGATGAATTAGTCCAAAGCAGCCATCTTCATCTGTATGCCATGACGCTTCTGTTTCTATGCTTGGTGGTGATTGAGTTTCCACCCCTGGCACTGTTATTGTTGGCTTCATTTCTTTCCTTTCCATTGATTGTTTCTCCAGAACATCTTCAGGTTTTTCTGTTGAGCTCTTTGAGTCTGTTGCACATCCTGTATTAGGAAGCACTAATGTCATTTCATGTTCTGTCAGTGTGACATTATGTTCTCTGGAAATGGTTGGTGTCACTGGCTCATTTGTACTTTTTGTTGCTCGACCTTCTGACCTTAAGTCATCAAGTTCTGAGTGTCTTTCTGTGGTATCTGTTCTCTCCACAGGTGTTTTACTTTCTGGTGTTTGTAATTTGCTTTCTGATGTACATTCCGTTTCAGGAAGCCCTGTTGTCATTTTCATCTCTTGTTCTTTCAATGTATCCATATGTTCATGTTCTCTGGAAGTGGTTAGTGTCACTGGTTCATTTATACCTTTTGACTGAAATTTTTCTGAAATGAAATCAACAGGTTAAGAGTATCTTTGAGTGTCTATGAAGATATGGTATCTGTTGACATCACAGGTGTTTTATCTTCTGGTGTTTGCAACTCGATTTTTGTTGTACATTCAGTTTCAAGAGCCTCTGTTGTCATTCATGTCTCATTTCTGTTCATTGTGAAATCTTCTGCATATTTTGTGGACATGGTTGGTGTTGCTGGTTCAATTGTACCTTTTGACTCAATATTTTCTGAAATGAAATTAACAGGTTCTGACTGTCTTTTTCTCATGTGTGGTATAGCTGTTGTCATCACAGGTGTTTTATCTTCTGGCGTTTGTAACTCAATTTCTGTTGTACATTCAGTTTCAAGAGTCTCTGTTGTCATTAATGTCTCTTCTCTGTTCATTGTGAAATCTTCTGCATATTTTGTGGACATGGTTGGTTTTGCTGGTTCATTTGTACTTTTTGTTAGATGTTCTGAAAGTAAACCGTTATATTCTGACTGTCTTTCTTCATGTGTGGTATCTGTTCTCTCCACATGTGTTTTGTCTCCTGGTGTTGATAATTTGATTTCTGTTGCACATTCTGTTTCTTGAAGCTCTGTTGTGATTTTAACTTCTTGTTCAGTCACTACAGTATGTTCATGTCCTCTGGAAGGGGTTGATGGTTCATTTGTGCCTTTAGTTGCAATATGTTCTGATCTTAAAACTTCATTATCTGTCTCTCTTTCTTCATATGTGGTAGCTGTTGACATCACAGGTGTTTTATCTTATGGTGTTTGTAGCTCAATTTCTAATGCGCATTCTGTTTCAAGAGCCTCTGTTGTCATTAATGTCTCTTGTCTGGTCGCTGTAAAATCTTCTGCAGATTTTGTGGATGTGGTTGGTGTCACTGGTTCATTTGTGACTTTTGTTTCAATATAGTTTGAAATGAAATCAACAGGTTCTGACTGTCTTTCTTCAGTTGTCAGATGCTCTCTCCAATGATGTTCTTTTTTCTGCAGTTCATAAGTTGATTTCTGTACATTCTGGTTGAGGAAGATTCGTTGACATTCTTCTGTC